GGGGGGGGTGAAATATATTCAAATATAACAAGTGGCAAAGAGCTCCAATAAGCACTGTGTATGAGCACTGTTACATTGGAAGGAACTGACCCTTTAATTACATGTTCCACTATTAATAAAAATGTTTGTACTTTTGTTCTTTCTTGCTACCACTTGCTGTATTTAAGGGAAAATGCAAGAAGCCAGTGAGTTGAATTGGCTTTAGTCTTCTTACACATCTAATGGACTCATCTAATCTAATGGTGTCAAGATCTTCAGCCAAGTTCAAGGTTCAATCACTTTTCATTACAAAACGTCCTCAACTGTTTTTCACTTATTTTATAGTGTAGACAAATCAGTCAGAACATCTTCTCCTGTTGCAACCGTAATAGATATGGTGGCCAAAACCAGCACATTTGTCAGAGAGCACTTACCAGTAGGGTCTGGAATAGATTTAAATGTGTGGGCGATTCAGCTTACTGACTGATCATAACGAAATTTGCAATTTTAAAATAATTGAATATTTGCATATATAAAATTATATACCAATTAATAGTAATAGGTATGCTTAATAGAAGTATATAATGCAAGAAAATGTGTAGAGTTTGATGAAGGAACTTTTAGTGCTTATTCTTTAGCCACTGGATAATGTAAGTATGGTGTTGCAGGAGTTAGTTTACTGTTACAGATTAGGTTATAGATTAGGTTAGATGATAGGTTAGTATTACATTTAAGGGGGTTAAGGTTAACCGCTAATGTTGAGGTTGTGTTAGGGTTAAGGCTAGGGTTGGATACGTGCATGTTAATGCTAAGGGCTACAGTGAAGCTGTGCTTTGGCCATGCAGGGAAACGCAAGAGGTTAGCTTTATGGGTGGCCCTGGCAGTAGCTTATACTTGCCTTCCCTTTGCTCCCCAGACTGTTCAACAGTTAGGACCAAAGAGAGCTTCAAGCTTGGACTTTTTACAGAAGGACCTTCCCCCTATCCCCTTGACAGTGCTAAGTTACCCCTCAACAAGAACCAGTGTTCTGATGTGAAAGGACTACACATTACACGTTCTAGGCCACAACCTATGTTGGCTGTGCTTTCTTCTAAGTAGATTAACAGGACACGATTTTTCATAAAACCCTGCATACTATGAAGCATTTTAGTAAATCCCAGTGGATGGACGGAGTAGCACAGGAATAAAGGGAAGGTATACGTTTCTGAGGCCACCAAGTCAGGGAACCTGTTGCTTTGCTCTGCAACCTCAAGTATTAAGGTGAAGATTTTAGGGTTATTGTAGGTGTTAGGTTTGGGTAGGGGAGGGTTAAATGTTAGGGCCTTCTGTGATGAGTCTACAAAAGGACAGTCTTAATTTAACCTGTTTTTGGCACTCAACACCACTTGCCAAGAACTATTAGAATAGGAAAGGATTAGAATGACTGTTAAGTTTTTATTTCTGTATGTGTCACTGTTAGGTCACTTTTAGGAAAATCTCTCTGGAGACACAACAATACAATCCTGACAAAGGTTGTAACCAGAGATTGTATTGCTGTCTGTGTCTTTGTTCGAAAGATGTATATCTGGAATATGAAGTGACTGTCAATTTGCGCAATAAAGAGCAAAGAAACCTAAAAGAGGTTCTACATCTTATATGTTTTTTCTTTATATAAACTTCTAAACTGATGTAAACATGGCCTGTTAATACAATATAATTCTCTTTAAAGACGAGGGGTGCCAAGCCTTTTTGATGAACGGTCTGTAGGTATGTCTGCAGTGGAAGAAGAAGAGCATATGCATGGAAGAACACCAGAACAAGTAACTATTTAAATATTTTGGTTACATTTTATGCAATATGACTTAAAGGGACACTAAACTCAGGAGTTAAATAAGTTGCATTCTTGTTAATAGTTAGGTTACTTGAATGTATTTTTAAAATTTGTGTATCACTCGGCTGTAAATCCTCAAATCATCTCTGAATTTGTGATGACACTGTCCTTCCTTCTGGAGGGCAGCTACTTTTGTTCCCCATGGTCCCTGTGTGTGTTGTAAACTAGCAACCACTCCAAGCTTGCTCCTGTGATGGACTACATGTTTACTTTACTAATTTGTATTGAGATTGTAGTCCATCACAGGAACAAGCTGGTGGCTACTTTACAACACACACTCAGGGACCATGGGGAACAAAAGTAGCCACCCTGCAGAAGGAAGGCCATTGTCAGCACCAATTCAGAGATGATTTGAGGATCTACAGCTAAATGATGCACAAATAAGGTACATTTGTGTTAATTGTTAGGGTACTTGAATGCATTTTCAAGTTTTGCTTTCTGAGTTTAGTGTCACTTTACATATCAACATTAGTATTGAAGGGGTATTTACAAAAGCATGAGGTAGAGTTCAAAATGACACCTTTTAGCAAATAATTATTTTTGTACAACAATCTTTCTTCTACTTAGATTCACAGGAAACCATTTTTCATAAAGCCCTGTATACTATGATCCATGCTGCTGTTTGCTGTTAATTGCATGTGTAATCCAACAGAAAGGAGTTAGAATATTGTGGGTAAATTTCAGCACACTAAGATATCTAAGTCGGATACAGCTCGCTTTAGAGAGCAGAAGCTCTGTTTCCATTCTAATTGAAAATGTGCAATATTTACAAGCAATGATTTTAAATACAGATATAAATACAGTATATGTATCACAACCTAAGAAAAGTTTTTAAATACAATCTATTTGATTACATTTTTAAGCTCTTCAAGATTATTAAGAGTCTCATCCATAAGAATTATGCAGCAGTAGAGAAAGCATATGAGGATCTGGATGAAATGAATTCTAGACGCCTTACTCAGGAGGCCATGTACTTACTATTAAAAAGGTATGTATAGATACTGGAAGCTGCCTATACATACTTACACTTTTGTAGCATATCCATTTGATGTAATACCTTCAAACAAGGTATCAGATTCAACTTTTTGCTTTTTACTATTAGCAGCTAAGTTTTTAATACAGACCAAATTGAATTATGTGCATTTTTGAGAGACAATGTGGAGTTTATGCTGCCCATTTTTAATTATATTTACATATTCTTATAAAGTTTTGACATTCAGCCTGGAGTTACTCGTGGAGAGATCCGCAGACTTTGGAGCACCTTCATCACCAACCAAGATAAAACTTTGGACTACCTTGAATTTGTCAGACACTTTGGTTACTCTCCAAAATCTGCATGTTATCCCAATGCAAAGATTAGCCCCCCCAAGAAAGGCGATGGAGACTTCAAGATTCGATCTAGGAAGCTGAACTGTGACTCTGACATTCTCATAGACAATGTCCGTGCTAAGGTATTGCTGTTAGGAATACCATAACGCTTTGTTGTATTTTCCAATGAGTGTGACTACTTCCACTAGTGGCACTTATCCTCACTGTAGGTAGGATACTGCAGGGCTCAGAATTTCTAAGCCAAAACTGGTGTCATTTACCAAATGGTAGATACTAACAGGAGCATGGTGACACTGTAAGACCTTCAATATGTTCTAGTGGACATTTAAAGAAGGCAAGATTTTTGGGCTGGGTGATGTCAGTGCTGGTTGCTTTTGTTGAATTTGTATTAGTAGAAGTGGTACTGAGCCATTGTCAAGGTTAAAGCAGTGGTATATGGGTGAGCATATTAATTGAAAAACCTATTATAGTATTTAGTGGAGTGGTAAGAAGAGTTAAGGTTGAGTTCTAATTGTTGCTGAGCCTTTGGGTAACATCAATTGCTGTGATTAAAGTAGAACTATGAGGTGAGTGCTTTTCACTCACCTCATAGTTCTAGCCGACCTGTGACAATGAGACTGTCACATGTCGGCTCAGTAGATCGGGAAGTGAGCGAACACATACCGGTATTCGCTTACGTCTCGATCCTGTCACGGCTCTCTGCCGTGACAGGGGAGGGGCTGGATTCCCCCCTCCCCGCTCCGATCCACCAGCGCTGACTGGCGGAACGGACTGGGGAGGGGGCGGGTACCTCTAGATAGGCAGAGCCAGCTGTCACTCACGCAGCTGGGCGGATCTCGACATCGTGGTCGGGATCCGCTCCGGCTGCGGCGTCTCAGTATAACGCGAGCTGTAGCTCGCGCTATACTGAGCTTACGGTGACGGGAGGACGCTAGTTTGTGTCCTCCCGTTACCCTAAGGAGAACTATGGGGAAAAGCCCTGACCCCATAGTTCTCCTTTAAGAAATTACCATTTGCTGCAGAGGGACTTACACTGGCAACGCCTGGATGGGTTGAGCGGTCTGACCAGATTAGGGACACTCAGGTTGTCCCATTTTTTAGCATTTTTTGTCAATATTCCCTCCTAGATTGTGTGGTCAGACAATAATTATATATGCCCCACTTATGTAAGAATCAAGCAGATATTGTTTAGGGGTAATTGTGATGGTGCTAAAATATTAGGTTGCACAGTTATTGCTTACAGCTTTCTAGGTTTACAGTAATTAGAGTTTTAGTAGAATTTGTTACATTTTAGGTGGAGTACTTATGGGATGACCTGCGGAAAGAATTTGAAGATCTTGATCCATACCACACTGGCTTTGTCAGCAAAGAAGAATTTAAAGACCTTTTAACTGAACTATGTATACACTTGAATGAATATGAACGTGAGATGTTAGCAAAGAAGTTTGAATCTATTGGTGATGGCCGGTAAGTTTTGCCTACAATTTGTGTTATATTTAATGTCCAGAATCTTCTCCAGAACCCTGTAAGAATAAAATATCAAAGTTTACTTATTCCTTTTTATATTTATTGTATAGTGGTAATCCACTATAGTGGTAATCCACGATACTTCACTTGTACCTGATATGAAAAGGTAATGCTTACTTTAACAATAAGCCATATAATAATCTGACACTTTATAACCAATGTGTTAGTGTGTCTAAATGAAAATGCCCTGGTGTACCTTATTGCGCCCACATATATAGAAGGATGGAGATAAAGATCTGGAGAAATTTTGCAGCTTTTTGTCATTTCTTTGGGATAAGTACTGTGGGGCAGCACAGTGGTTTAGTGGCTAGCTCCACTGCTTTGCAGCACTAGGGTCCTCAGTTTGAATACCAACCGTAATGCTACCTGCATGGAGTTTGCATGTTCTCCTTGTGCTTAAATGGGTTTCCTCCCACACTCCAAAGACATGCTGGTGGGTTAATTGGCCTCTGTATGTGGGGTAGGAACCTTAGATTATAAAATCCTTCAGGGCAGGGACTGGTGTGTAAAGCACTGAATCAATTGTTGGTGCTATATAAATATCTGTAATACAGTGGCGGATCTATCGCCGTAGCGACCAAGGCGGCCGCTATGGGGCCTGGGGAAAAGGGGGGGCAGGCCAGGATGAGGAACAAAGGCGGGCCGCCTGGGTCGCTAAGGCATTGCAGGCTGCTGGCTGTCACTCTCGGCTGTGAGGAGGAACGTGCCGCTGTCCAGATTGCTGACAACCTGTCAGTGATCTGTGCAGTGGCACGTTCCTCCTCACAGCCACTGCTGAGTGAGTGACAGTCAGCAGCTGTGGAGGAGGAGGCAGGGTCAAGCGGTGGTGGAGGAGGAGGAGGAGGAAGAGGTCAGGCCTAGCGGCGGTGGAGGAGGCGAGGACCACCAGTGACCAAGGAGGAGGTGGGGCCTAGCGGTGGAGAAGGCTGATCGGATCGGGGCTGACAGGTAAGAGGTGTGCAGGGGTGTGACCAGCCCACCTGAGACCCTGCAGAGCCCACCATAGAGAGTCTATTTTGCGGGCTCTGCAGAGTTACTCTCAGGTGGGCTGTATGGCATCTCAGGTGAGCACTGCAAGGGGCGTAACTAGAAATCACAGAGCCCCATACAAAATTTTGCTATGGGGCCCTGCGATTTCTAGTTACACCCCTGCTGTAATAAATAAAATATTAGCTGCAATACATTCCGGGATTGTGCCAAGCTGGAGGACATAGGGTGGCCGATTTGGGAGGTAAATTCTAGCTAGATATCTGGGAGCAGGTAGGAGAAAACCTGAACCTGTAAAATGGTTAGACCAGTGAAATAAGTTATTCTACAGATATGCTTTAAGGTAAATGGGGGAAACCTTTCTTCTTGGGCTACCCACTCTGTAGTTGTGTCATGGTGGAACTAGTCCAACACCAACATGAGGCTTGCTGATCTGTGAAATATTTTTTTTAATAAGGTAGCCTTGTACTCAGATAAACAGTCCGTAACTAACTAAAGGGTGCTTCACTAGTTGTAGTTTTATTAGAGAGTGGCAAAAAAGCCACTGTTATCTAATATGCATATGGAGCCAGCTGACAAAAGATTCTATAGTCCAAATAGGCCAAAATGTATAATTTTTTTCATCCAACTGTTACGTTTGGCATAAGCCAAACTCTGCACATAATCAGAAAAGCAACATTCCCAACGTAGTGGTGGCAGCATTATGGTGTAGGGATGTTTCTCTACAGCAGGCCTTGAAAGACTTGTGAGGGAGCAGGGCAGAACCAATACATCAGAATACAAAAATATCCAGGATTAAAACCTGATACAGCCTGCAAAAAACTTGAGCCTTGATGGAAGATCTCTCCAGCTAGCACAATATAAAATAATAAAGACAGTTTTTGTTGCCTTTTCTGCCCCTTAATTATAAAAAAGGTAATAGACATTCTTCCTACACAGGTCTATTAATAACCTTCAAACCCTAAATTAACAATTCTATTGTTTCACATGGATTAAGTTGCTTTGTGTTTTCTCCCTGTAAGGGTATGCTACATTGATTTCCTGCAACCTTTTGTGCCTCGCCGACAAGCTTTAAAAACTAAAACCAACATGGAGGCAGTTATGCAGAGTTCACGAGAAGAGGACAGTTCATCTGAATGCCATCCCAAAGGTCTGGGCACACTGACATCAAGGATGCGTAAGAAGGTATGATTGTTCTACGTGCTGTGCGTGCAAACATTTTGTTTATATGTTGTAGCTATTCTTGGTATGATTAAATGGTTTTTACCATTTCTACTCCTATGTTTCTTCTTCCCCATAGTTGTAATGCAGTCATATTTGCAATTTCTATGCTCACATTGAGAATTTGTGATCATGATGAAGTGGTGTTCTTCCCTGTCAAGTTAATCAAAATATAACACATACATCTTATTCCTAAAAATATGAGACACCCAGAAAACTGTCCTTTTATTAATAATGTGGTTAATGGAAATGATTGCAGACAATGATTCATACAGGTTTAAGGTAGTGAAGGAAGAGTTGCCAGCAGGTATAAAAGTAGAAGTCCACATTCCTCACTTTTAACCTTTAAATTCTTTCTTTGTCTTATTAATAGACTGCTTTGATTATATTCCACTCGAATCCTCCTTTCTTCAATGATGATGCTGGTCACGTACAACATTTTGCTTAAGTATTTGCCAGTTTGGACTTTTCCCACATTTTGTAGAGTTGCAACTATTTAAAATTGATTTAATTATGATTTTATGTCACTGATCTACACAAAATAGTCCATAGTGTCAAAGTGCAACATAATGTAGATCCTTTTATGTATGATTAAAAAGTTGCAAAGTATTTACTACGTAAGTGTTCATCCCCTTTTTGGGAAACCCTTAAATACCATGTGGTGCATCCAATTGCCTTATGAAGCCACATTTAAAGTGCCATATCCTCTAAAAATGATTAAAGCTGTTTAGAAAGCCCAGAGATTAAAAAAAAAAAAACATATTAAAAAAACATCATGAGGGCCAAGCACCTATCAAAACAAGTTTGTATGAATGGTGAATATGTATGTAATCAACAAATGTCTGCTTTTTATTCAATTACCTTTTGTGTTTTGTACCTTCAGAATGCTGTGCAAATCAAATGGTAACAATTCTAGATAGCAGCCATAAAATGTGTAAAAGTTGAGGGGAACTGAGGATTGAGGATAGATAAATGTCAGTACATCATTTAGCATATGTTAACAAACACATGTAATTGGGTCTGAAGTGTATCTAATTACTGATGAATGTGGCCTGGCTTTTATATTCTCCACCTTACTATCCTACTTGGCATGTATCTAGCTGTGTATGTCCCAAGATTTCTATAGGTTTTCACAGCTCCATCTCATGCTGACAGTTGTACATGGAAATGTAGAACATTTGTATTCCTTTTTGCAATCACAAGCATCACTGAGATCTTCCAAAGCATTAAAAGCGTCTTAAGCTGCCCATACGCTTTAATTTTTTTCTTGTTCAGCCCCTTAAGCTCAACTAGAAAAGTCTCTTAATTCCCCCATCCACATTAAAGAGTGTGGCTGGATCTCCCCTGCTGTCTATTATATTCTGACAGCCAGTGCTTAAAACTGTCAGAATACCCAAACAGGGACTGTCATTGATTGCTTGCAGTCACAAGTCAAACATTTTCCACCCAGGTCCTTTGACAGAAAGTCGACGGAAACATTCAGTTTTGTCGAGCTGTGTAGTGCTGGCAGGGCCAAACACATATCAAAATACAGAATATTTCAGCAGGAAACATGGCCATGTTTGGCCAGCTTTAGCAGATTGCTAACCCTTCATAAATAATGTCAATACATCAAAAGACAGATTTTTTTTCATCATGTACTTCTATAGCTGTCAGTATATTTGACTATGTAGTGGCAACAGCTGCAACATGTATAGTCCCAGCTAATTGCAGATTACCGTACTCTATCAGTTTGGGCTCATGTATATAATATGTGAGCCTATACATGGTGTAAACAGTGAGGGCTGAATCACACTTTTACATTTGAGTGCATTGTGGTAAGATTAAGGCCTCATTCACACGAGAAAAGGCACAGCTCCATGCTACGTGCAGGCCGTATCGGGCAGCTCCCGGGAAGGACAGGTGCTGCGTGTGTTTAGTACACAGCCCCTGTCCTTCTCTATGGGAGCCCTATGCTCACTCCAGGGGCAGGTCCGTACGGGTGCAAGTGTTCCGGCTCAAACGCAGACAGGATCCATCCTGTCTGCGTACAAGTACGGACACCTGCACCCGCACGGACGTGCGAGCGGGTAAGCGTAGGGCGGCGTATGGCCACCTACTCCCATAAAGAAGGACAGGGGCTGCATACTAATTACACATTAAGACAACACAGGTCCGATACACATGCTATGCAGTGTGTGTTGTAGTGCAATGCGTAAAAAAAATTCTGCATGTACTGAAGGTTTTTATGTCTGTTCTTGTATGTTGTCAGGCATTTCAAAATGAATGGGCTCCTTAATGCCACACATGGTAATATGTGTCACAATGCATGTTAACGCAACGTACAAGAACTGCAAAGTGCAAAGGGGCCCTAAGTGATTCCAAAATGTGATAATGATTCACAGAGTGAATTATTTAGCATTGGTTATTGTATCCTAGCATTTATAGACCTGAACCTTTTACCTTGGTTTTGTAAACTAATTTTAAATAAGAGGTGTAAGTCTACATTTGACATCATAATTGATAGATTGCTTACACTTTCGACTTGCTCCTATTTGCTCGTTACCTGTTGCCATTGTTTGTCACTTGCTTTATTTATCACCTTGTGTTCCAAAACACTAGTTCTGCTAGAGGTTTGGAACTTTATTATACACTGTATTTTCTTCTGTTCCTGGGTATAGACACAATAGTTTAATCATCTAGATCTGAGGAGACCCAAGCATACGTAAACGCAATTAGCTCTGAAACAGTGGGAGAACTATTTTTTGTTGTTGTTCTTAAGAATTCCAGAAGAATATACCGATAGGTACAGTCATGCAAATATAATCCAAGTTCATGCATGTGTATATTTAATAGTAATAAGCGATAGTGCGCATGCTATTGTTAAAACTTCCCTCTCTAGCTGTTCTCAGGCCAGATATTTGTAATCTAGCTTTTGGCCCAGACAAAGCTTTGTAAACGTGCATAATTACTGCCCTCTCTGACATGTTTGAAATGGACACCCACTACATCAGTAAAACCAATGTATGCTACCTGCTAGAGATTGAGAACAGGCGTCCCTCCATAATGACAGATTAGCAGAGGTATTGTATAAATAAAAGGACATACACAGAGGACAAATATGAGGTCTTACCAATTTGCATTGGCCACCCGCCTATATTATCTGCATGGCTAACCATGCAGAAAATGACAAATAGTGTGTCCTGAAAAGTACTGCATCATGCATTTATTGCTGTCACTCCCCGTATTCAAAGGGCTGGGAATACCAAGCTCCTGGTTAACTCCCTCTGGTTAAACACTTCAGAAAGAAAAAAAATCTTTATTGCGGGTACAGTGTATATATTTATGCAGCTTTACCTTACACAAGACCCCATAGTGGTCTGTTCATAGTCACTGCTGAAAAGAACATTGAATAGCTTTTTCTTGTGTATCTGGTTCCATAAAAATACAAATAGTAGCATGCTTTGAGGTACACAGGTTTGGAAAATTGACATGGGGGATTTAAACAACCATTTCTTCTAATATGCAGCTGCAAGGGGAGTGGAAGACACTACGCAGAGCTTTTAAGAAGCTGGACATGGACAGCAGTGGCTACTTATCTATGCCTGAATTTAGATCCGTCCTGAAGCTCTGCAACTTTGTTCTTGATGAAGATGAGGTTTATCACATCATGTCTAAATACGACCAGAATATGGATGGCCGCATCAACTACAAATCATTTTTAGAGCACACATGTAAGAAAGATAACCTTTCTATCTCTAGCACACCTCTGTCAAACACAATATAATGGTCATTTGATAAACAGAAACTCTTCATCCATGAAAAAGACAACCATGTGATTGGCCAGCCCAGGTAGCTTTTAGCTCTCCAGCCATTGTAGAAATGCTTATTGTGGCACAACTGCTGAAGAGCCACTGCTTGCCTCTTTTTGCTTCTGTTGCCATAGTGAGCCTATTACATACACTGGAAGTACATCTTTTGTAATAATAAATAATATCTGAATTATCAGTTGACATAGATACGAGTATACTGCTTGTGGTTGATGTGATCACCTGTCTGGTTCCATCAGCATTTACAGATTATATCCACAGTTTACATAGGGTATGGTATTATATAAATGAGCTCTTCAGTAAGCACCTATTTCAGTACTCATAGATGCTTCATTGGTGATCTACAAGAAACATAGCTTCTGGAAAATCAATAATAAGTACTGAAATGTTTGACATGTTGACCACTCAGTGGTGGTAGCGCCATCTTGGTGCCACACATGATGATCCACCACAGATAGGGTATTTGTGCCTTTAAATATAGTGTCATTTAATTACAAGCTGCTGCTAATTCATAGTATTTGGCCAGCTGCATTTACATTGCTGTTGTTTCAGCTCTTTGGATGGCTTCCTCCTCTGTATGTAAGGCTCATGATAAAAGCATGCAAACTAAAATAGAATAAAGATTATCCTCTTCAATAGGTTCTGGATCTCTGGTTCTATTATGTTTGGGGAAAACATTCACTTCTACCACCCATCTATGCAATGTACAACATTAACCTCCCACTATTATTGTAACTAATAGAAAATGGTTGTCATGAAACCATCACCCGTTATTCAGAATACTATCTTCTCAATGTACCCAAATAGAAACAAGAATGTATATTAGCAGCACACAAGTGGCTTTTAGCCTAAAGTGTCATTCTTTTGAAATACCTTCCAGGATGTTTCTTTTCCTTATGTACCTTGTGGTTTCCAGTGGCTTTTCTGAGTGATATTGCATTTGATGTGTTACCTAAGACAGTAAGTAGTTTTACAAGGAACATACTTTTCTGGAAATGTTTGCTTAGTTTTATAGTAGATTTTATAACAGAAAGACAATTAAAAATGCATACCCAAATATTAAATAAAATGTGTGCCATGTGTTATAGATCTTTTTGGCTGGCTTCACACTTGTGTGCTGCCATAACATACAGTAACATGCATGTCTTGAAGCTCAATTATTTCTTTGTGGTGCGTCAGCACACAGGTGCCAAATGAATGTGCTGCCAATGCATTTTTACATGCCTAAAATCGCATTCATGCAATGCATACTAACGCGCCTAAGATCACATGCACAAAACGCAATGCACTGCATTGTATTACTATGCTTTGCTGTGAACAACAATGTAAGTGCTTTGGGGTGCCATTCACCACGGAAGTGTGACCCCAACCTGAGCTGTGTTATTTTATGCTCTACAATGTTCACATGCAGTATATGGCAACTGAGCTGCGATACAGCGCACCACAATGCACATAATCTGTGTTATGGTCCACTGCATTGGCGATAATACTGCAGGTGCAGGTTCTCATGCATCAGGGCGTGTTGGAGCCCTTTCAGACTGAATGCGCTGCCTTAAAGCAGTGCCTCAATGCATGAAAACATGTACCTCAACGCGCACATATTAATGCATGTACAAGTGTGAAGGGGCCATTAAAATCATCTCCATCCTCACCTCCTATAATATTTGTATTAGTTCAGTGGCTAATAAGTGTGGTTTATTTCTTCCCAACTAGCGCACAATATTTAGAAGTGTTTATGCAAACGTTCCAATGCCACTTCAAATGTACTTAGGCTATTTTGCTGTATAGAGAATTGCAAGTTTTTTTTTCTTCTCTCAGTCATTTTAGACTAATGGCGGCTGACAGAAATGTCCCATAAAGAGATTACAAACCGCAGGCTGATTATGTGAGAGGTTTTGATTGTCATCCTAATATTCAGTTCTTGCATGTTCCTCATGTGCTTCATTGTAATCTGTGAATATAACCGCTTGCTCTTTATATAAGTCAGTTATGCTTTGCTGGTGTTTTATGATTTTTTAGTAAGGTAAGATGTTCCCGAGTGTTACATCAATACTAATGGTCAGAAGATTATTTTTGTGGATCAAAACAATGTTTACGTGCTGATTTAACTAAATGTCCTAGTTATTTATTGTTTATATTTTTAGGGTAACCTATTTTTAAATAAATGCAGCAAAGATTGAAAAATGGTTTTCTTGTTGTTGTCTTTGCATGGAAGTGAAAGGGGCATTCATATTATTTGTTAACCACTCTAGTTTAGGACTGGATACTACCACAAACTCCTCTGATGCAATAGTCATTTCCTTATGTGTTTCTTTTTAATAATAGATGTCTTTAAACATTTTAGTGTTTAGCTCAATATTGTAGATTTTCCCATTTTCTACTTGTTTCACATATGCTCTAATGCACAAACATTTCTAAACCAGAATGCCTATTGATGCATATTATTAGCGGCGTATTGGCATGCTTTCATATTATAGCGTGTGCTGCAGACATAAGGAAGTATTTTAATAAAGGCCTATTCATATCACTATGCTGTAGTAGTGCATGATACATACGTCCATACGCTGTGGTGCATTTATTTTGAACGGTACCCCAACACACCTTCACAACGCAGGTATGTTGTGAAGGTGCAGTACAGTGCACTGCAATACAAAAATTGTTGCAGGTATAATTTTGGGTTTGGTTTAGTACATTAGGCAGCACATTAGTGGGCTACCTTAACACAATGCACCTTAACGCATGGCTTAACATGCATTAAGCACACCACAATGGATTACCCTGATGTGAATGGGCTCTATATGTGATATATCAGAGGAATAAGGAGATAACAGGAGGTATTATAGTCTGATCAGCAGGAGGGCCTAAACAACAACAATAATCCCTACAGGCAATAATGTGGAGATCATCTAGTATACATTGACATTACGGCTAGAGTTGGAAATGTTGTGAGAGGTATATGCAGACTGCCATTGCTGCGCTCTCCTTATGAAAATGATTGTTTGCTGTCTGCCAATGCGTTCCCTGTGACTTCAATATTTTAAATCACTGACTTGCAATTTGGAAGTTCTCATTTAACTTTAGTGTCAGCATGCTTTTTTTAGTGTAAGTGACTCAAATTAATGATACTACCGACAGCCAGGCAACTGGCATTTTCAGAGATTACCATTTTCAGACTACATACTCGTGAATACTCTTGAATACATTTTGTTTGAGTAAGAAGAGTAAACATATTCCCTGATAAATAGATGACCACTAGAGGGAGCATTTTTCAAACTATGGGTATATAATACAACAATCACATAAAGGGCAGCGAGTGAGTGAAAAGCTATAAGTGAACCTGTGGCCAGGCTATGAACATTCAAGTATATACATAAACTTAAAACGTAATTTAACCTTAACACAAGTGCTTACTGACCTCTGTAACTGCAAGAGCATGGTGAGCTGAGAACCACTTAAAAAAATACATAAGAATATGTAAATACTTAAAGTGACATTCAAGTCAAAAATATGTTTCCCTCCCCCCATGTTAATGTTAGCACTTACCTTAAATGATGTCTCTTATTCTGATCTTCTTCTTCTTTCCTGATGTTTTCATCTGTCCCTCCAGCGGTGCAGCAGCTCTCCGATGACTGCTCTGTCCCTCCTATCGAGCGGAGTCTGCATGCGGGTGCACGCGTCCATAGACTTACCTTGCGTCTCTTCTCGTCTCCCGGCCGAGAATCCGAACTGCGCATGCGCCCGCCCCAAGATCCTTTGGGGCCGCACGAGCAGTTCCTGATTCTCAGCGCGGGAGCACGCAGTGAAAACGAGGTAAGTTTAAACCGCTGTTAAAGCATTTTGTTTTTTTTTACTTTTTGCCTATATCTACTGCTTGCTAGCAGTAGATATAGGCAAAAAAAACGGAGGGTTTAGAAAAACCCTTTAAAGTGAGATTAAAGTCTTATTTTTTTTTACATATATCTATGTAAAGATCTACTAGCAAGCAGTAGATATATGCAAAACCATTTAGAAGAAAAAGTTACCAAATAGGTAAAAATGTATCTCTGTCTCAGCCACGCGCTCCCGGCTGCAGAATCCAGCTTCTTGAATGGGCGTGCAGGAGCACATGTGCGGGTGCATGTGCAGTGGGATCACCGGCGGGGAGAGGAGGATAGCTACTGTGTAAGTGAATGCACGCAGCCGTGAGCGAGCACGCCGGACACACTCCATGGGACAGGAAGAGACAGCAGTCTGCGCTGGATCAGAGACCAGCACCAGCGCTGGAGGGACTCCTGAAAACTACTGGAAGAAAGAAGATGTTTGTATCAAGGGCTTACCCTAATTGGGGGGGACATTTTGACTTTAATGTCAGTTTAAAGTGACACTATACTCGGGAGTTAAATCTTAAAAATACATTGAAGTACCTTAACTATTAATAAAAATGTATCTAATTTGTTTATCACTCGTCTGTAGATCCTCTAATCATCTCTGAATTCATGCTGACACTGTCCTTCCATCTGGAAGAGGTCACTTTTGTTCCCCATGATCCCTGTGTCCTTCCTTCTGGAGGGTGGCTACTTTTGTGCCCCATGTTTCCTGTGTGTTGTAAACTAGCCACTGCTCCAAGCTCGCTCACATGATGGACTACAATCTTAGTACAGATTAGTAAACTTAATCTGAGATTGTAGTCCATCACAGGAGTGAGCTTGGAGCGGTGGTTACTTTTTAACACACAGGAAACATGGGGCACAAAAGTAGCCACCCTCCAGAAAGAAGGACAGTGCAGAATGAATTCAGAGATGATTTGAGGATCTACAGCTGAGTTATACACAAATAAGACACATTTTTGTTAATAGTTAAGGTACTTGGATAGATTTAAGATTTATCTCTTCAGTTTAGTGTCACTTAAGGCCCCATTCACACTAAATGACACTTACCTCGAGCGGATCCGCGAGGCCGGGTATAGTGACTGTTCGGGTGACGTTCCAGCGTCGATCACGCGACTTTCACCGTCGGGCTGCATGCAAAAATAGAAAAATTGTGCGACATTCGCAGGAAAAAGGGTCCTGCACAAGCGAGACGCGACAGCGACGAGCGACATGGAGCTGTTCAATAGAACAGCTCCATTGAAAATCATTGGAAGGCGACTTCTCGCGATATCGCTGTGGAAATCATGCGAATAAACGCCCAGTGTGAATCGGCACTTAAGTGTACATAGCCTGGCCACAGGTTCACTTTATATTCACATCAAAAGGTACTGTCAGGTGAATATTACATGAACAACCTAACATATACTCAGTAAGAAGTGGGGTTGACTCCACTGGAAAATAATTACTTGCTTGCTTGTCAGGGGCAAGTAACTGTGCTGCATAGATGACACTCCTGACTGGCTGACTGCACAGAATGTGAAATGAATGGCTGTATGAATGTTTCAATGTTATTTATTTGTTTGTCATGAGTTCCACTGTAAAATGCAGCTGCTTCATTAAATTAAAACCCCATCATAGGCATAAACAAGTTGCATCACTGTGAACTGATCTTTATTAGACCAGCTGTTAGTCTTAATCTGATATCTCCCAAAGGACATATATAGTGGACACAATCCATCCTCCACTTATTTAGGGCACCCCCTTCCCTACTCTTGGAGAAGGAAGAGATTAGTGCATTGGGTCCTTGCACTACAGGCAGCTGCATTAGAGGCACCTGCACTGGCCTTTCTATACAAGGTCCCAGTGGCTTTAGGACAGACTCTGCTGGTGTGGTTACAGCATGGTGATCTGTTTGTTCTATAATGCTTGGGAGCACAAGTGAGCTCTGTATTAAGAAGAAGGAGGGAGCCCTGCCCGGGCTGAAGACTCCTAGCCCGGTAAAAAAAGAATCACAGAACAGTGTAGAACCTTTGATTTCATGGAGATGATTATATTTATTCTTGCCTACTCAAGGGTAAAGCCCAAGAAACAAGGGATTGTCCTATTCAGGGCTATTTCAACGAATTAGCTCCTGATAAAAAACACTGCCAGTTTTTTCTTTTCTTTCTTTTTTAGTTTGGGTATTTGATTGGAAGTCAGCCATACACAACTTATTTAAAGAAAAGAAGCAACAACAAAAAAAAAGAATACAGATAAACCTATTCATGTATTGTGTGAGAGGGGAAAACACGTTTAATCACAATCTGGTTTAAATCAGCTTCCCCCTGCAAAGCTGATATAACATTTTAAGTCGTTTATTGGAAAGCCTAAAGTGTCAGATTTGACTTTTGCCCAAGACTGAGGAGCCGAGGCTGCAAGGATTGTCTTGAGATTCTAAATAATGACAGTACCACAATGCAGAAGTACATGACACCAAAAAGTTTACTTCTGCAGCAAGATGTTTAGAACTGGAGGGGCTACCCCTGTGGAGGTGTTGTCCGTAGCAGCCGATTCGGTTCATTGCTTACCATGGGAAATTTGTCAAGAAGTCATCCAGGCTTTATAAACATTATGCCTGTGCCACCGGCATAGACATTTGTAAAACTACTACGGAATATTTCCACCATTTCAGGATTCTTTTCATGACCCATCAAACCTCCTTTTTCTACAAGGTGCTAGATATTATCCATACGGACCTTGACACACATCTTTTAAGTTCCCTTTTATACATGCCCAACCACTTTATTCATTAAAATAGGAGCATCCTGCTGAAGCATGACTTTATTTGTTTTATAAGCAGAGCTACTAGAGTCTGGATGTTACTGAAGCTGCGTGTTACTATTCTTCATACTCCTCTAGCAGTGATTACTTCGCTACCCCCTCAGTTCTTCTTCTAGATTTACCCACGGATGTCCAAACCACAACGAAAAAACAAACAAATTTAAAACGAATCCTGGCGCTCATGTCTATGTAGATTCATATTTCAGACATTTTCAGCTGGGTGCTAAAAATCATACCCGACCCCTTTGCCTTACTACTGCTTCCTCTGGCTCATTTTACTGTGGATCTAGTCAATGTATAGCAATATGCTATTGCTTTTCCAGTTTGGGTTAGACAGAAATTACCTGATAGTTAACTGTGGGAAACAATAACATTTTTGTATTAATTGTATTCTTGAGTGTAAAAGACAAAACAGATATTTATTATAAAACGAGAGCATAAATCTTGTTCTCAGATACTAAAATGATATAATATATTAAAGTTAATCTCATGTGAGGTACATTTACAGTCTTATAAAATGGAGCTAGATATCTAATGTAGAAGTCACTTTTACCTTTTAAATATGTACTTTTGCCAAGTTATACGCAGTTAAAAATCCGTGGTATTGACTGATTTATATAACTTATCAACAATATCACATAAATCTACCATTTGCAATATTAACATTTTTGCTAAGTTAACTACTGTAGAAAATGAGCACTTTTAGTGCCCTTTATTTACATCCTTTTACACTTTCCCAGCCTACAAGCTGCATAGAAACTGTATAGAGTCAGGCGACTTGCCACTTCAAAGAAAAGGATTCCATGGGGCAACACTCAGTCAAATTATTATTACATTGTAACATTAATCTGCAAAGTGACAAGACTTAGTAGAAATATTACTTTAATTGGTTAACTGATGCATGTCCTAGTGTTGTTTTATGTTGGTGACAAATGTCCGTAATTCGCAGAAATTTTTACATAAATTACACCAGCAGTTTACAGTAAGTAAAAACTTTTATTACACATTTTACAAAATAAATACAGCTACATTTACATCTGTGTATTTCACAAAAGAGTTAACATTTTAATAAATTATAAAAATCAAGTTACAATTTACAAGTATTTACATAGTAGTCATTCTTGAACCATTCTGATGCCCAGCTAGACAAAGGGATTATATGACGGAGTAAAACATCTTCTCCAAGTCAGTGTTGGTACCCAGTTGAGTCAGATAATTATGATGATACTTTCATGTTTTAACCCACAAAAGTTTGATGTATGCACACATATAAATCAGACACACTGATAAACATAATGCAATAGACAAGATAAGTCAACATGACTGATGTACAATAGCATTTCAGAGTGCATTATTTAGCCAAGGCATAGGCTAAACAACTTCATGCCCTTGAGGTGCTGATGAACCTTAAATCAAGTTCCAGCTAGGGAATCATAGATAGATATGTGGTAGTATAGGAGTAGGTGTAATATAAAGGTTAGGTAAGATTTGATTACTCTTAAGGTGCCCATACACCTATCGATTATCATTCAGAAATCATCCACTAATGGTCTTTCGAACGATAATCAATCAGTTGATGGGAGCCCAACGATTATTTTTACTGTACTCCTGGCTAAATGTTCTCAAAGGGTAAAGCTGGAAAACTTTTTTCGAATCGTATGTAAATCGATGGATTAGTGACGTTTTCGTACGGAAAAAACTTGACATGAACATTGCATATGCGCAAATGAAAATTCGCTCTGTTAGTATTGCTACCGAACGATAATCAACATTTGTCTGTGCATAATGGAGTATTTGAGCAGAAATCGAACGATGGTTCAATGAGGGGGACGAAAGAAATCGAAGGATAATCGATAGGTGTATGGGCAGCTTTAGGCTCACTTTTGGGGTTAGGTTGTGTTAGGACTAGTACAGGTTAAGCATTAAAGTCTGGCTCAGTTATTAAGTGTTATTGTTAGGGAGTCCAGTGTTGAAAGGTTCCCAATAGTTCTAGTGTTGGGATCCTCCCTCCAAAAACTACTGGTGCTGACAAGAAATAAATCACTGACCTAGATATCACATTTCGAAAGACAAGTAGACATAATACCCAAGACCATGGTTTAAAACTTGCACACATTTATATAAAATTGTGTTCAAAGAAACAATAATATGGCTATATAAACTCTGCTACCACTGCAGATTCCCCCCATCTGATCATCGCTAGTGAAAAATGTGTGTTTATGGTACATATGCTCTATAGAATGATCATATGGTTGTGGACCTTCTGGCAATCATGACACTCATTCACTCTTTTCTATATGTAGCCTTAGTCATACATATCAGTCAGATTTTAGCTCTCATTTTTACCTCAAAATAAAAAATAAAATCTGGCACCTAGTAGGTTGCTATAGACATTGCATACATATTTTCCTTTCCTCCCAAGAAATGTGGCCTTGTGATACCCTAATGCTAGGTGCTGACATCAGTGTCACAGAACAACAGGATGCTGTGAACTGTGCATGTTAAAACTATTAGTATGGGAATGCCCAAGAAGACTGAGGTAATGTCTGTCTAAACTCTGCATGGGTGACAAGAAGCTGCTATGTGGGGACTGCTGTGGGGGGGTGCATGGCAAAGGCATTGTAGCTGGACCTGTGAGGTAGTTCAGTGTGGGGCTTCTAGTAGTGCTATGCCAGGAGAAGGAGCCTCCTGTGCTCTGTGCAAATGTAGAGTCGCCACTGCTTGGGTAATCAGGTGGTGAGGGGGGCAGCTGGCATGACATATCTACCTCCTGAAGGGAACTAAATAGTGGGTCTGTGGACAGGTGTGATTTAGACTGCAGGAAGGCAACAATGCGAGCGTATTTGGTGTCCTTGGTCTCCATCCTTTCTACTGTGGTCAGGTAATGAACAAGATTCTTCATGCACTCATGGTAACCATAGTGAAAGTAGTTGGCAAACTCTGACAGGAGATCTGTTGGGAGACAATGAGCTAATTTAGACTTTGAAAGCCAATATGTCTAAAAATGAATAGCGGGTATATAAAAGGATAAATGCACCTTTACCAAAAAAAGGACAAAATACACCACCACCTGTTGCTGCATCATTCATTATGATATAACTGGATATCCCAGTTGGGCCCAGCAGCAATCATATATTTGTCCAAACAGAAAAAAAGACAAGCAAAACCATGACTGGATAATGTATGCAGCAGTAGGATTAAAATGCATGCAGATATATAGTTCAGATATATATGTCAGAATTATATAGATCGGTTTGCTTTTGCAATGTTAGTTACTGTTATACTAGAATAACAATAAAGGAATGTGTTAATTATGGAGGTTAAGGATCCTTTATTGATTATACTATGGAACTCCATCAATAACATCCCTGGCATTCCTCCTACCCATATATTAAAGGTTGGTGGGTGTAGACCCTATAATGATTTTGCCATGGCCCTTCATTAATAATGACCCCAGTATTCATCCTACCCAAATATACAAGGGTGAAGGATAAAGACCCACTAATGATTCTGCTATGGTACTGTAGCAATAAAACTCACCGTGCATACATTTTAAAATTTGGAGGATAAAGATCCTATAATGATTTACCTATAGTATTCAATAAGGAATGCTCTAGTATTCATATTGTCCATAATATTACACATTTACAGGTTACAGGTATTCATTAACTGTAGGAAATTATTGTTAGCTGCTACTTTATAAAAAGAAGTTTCCTTACAACAAAGTATTATGTCATTCTTTCTACATCAAAATTACATAAATCTTTACTTTTAAAAATTAAATGAAATAGAAAACTGAGCACTGTAATATTTGTTCTCTTAACATTAATATATGCAATTAATATCTTACCTTTATCCCGACCTCTAGGAAAATCAGCAGCATGCAATGCTCTCAAATACTGAACTGTCATTTCCAAAATCTCAGCTTTTTCCAGTTTACCAGAGTTCTGAAAATGAAATAATTTAGTTAGTATATTCAGAATTATTTGTGCTTGCTGACATAGATAAAAAGCACATAAAATAACAGCATTCACAAAGCAAATTAAATTCAATCACATACATCACAGACTGGCTGATTTTGTAGCCAACAGAGCAACATCTTTTATGATATTATGACTCTTAGGGTGATAGTAAACAATTAGAAATAACTATTCCTATATGACAAAATGTACTCAAGACAGCACAATCGACAATTTCTATCATTTAATAGTTTCTTTGAAATGCACTGATATGGTAACCTTTGTTTTATATTTTAGCATTGTATAATACCTGAAGTATTCATTCTTGCCTGTTTAATATTACACATAGATTATATTGCAATTATCCATTAGTTAAATAAAAAGCCCAGTAATATTTCATCCATGACAGTATAGAGCATAATGTTGCTTTAAACATGCATGACACACTGTATAGTGTAACCTGAAATGGGAAAGGTGATATGACAAGGACAGTGTGGGTAAAACATAGAAATCCAGTATGAGAAAAAAATTCAGAGCTTCAGGTAAGAATGTGGATGTATTCGATTCATAGGAGGCATTTCTGGTCATACACATGGAAAGTTTCAAACATCAACTTTTGTTTAACCGGGTCAATATAAAATATTTTATGACAGGGATGGTGGTAGGCTGGTGGTAGGCTTCACTGATCCAATTAAATTTGTTTAGAATTGCTAGAACTTGTGAAGGTGACTAGTGCAACCTGTATGACTTAAGTTAGAAAGTAAGCATGATTTAGACCGCATGGTTATGTTGTAAGCAATGTGATATTTCTGCTTGCTTCAAATATCCAGGGGAAATTTTATAAAATTATTTTAATTCCACTCAGGCGGTGTTATTTAAATTCTGTAGCTGCAATGAATACAAGTTATGGTGAAAATGACATTTAGATGAAAAAGTAAGGAAAAGTATTAAAAGATAATGGGGAATTTATCAAATCTGGAGCAGAGAAAATCTGGACCAGCTGTGCACAGCAACCAATCAGCTTCTATTTTCAGTTTTTTCATTTAAGATATGAAAATGTAAGAGAGAGGCTGATTGGTTGCCATGCACAGCTGCTCCAGATTTTGCCTGCTCCAGCTTTGAGAAATTTCCCTCAATCACAATGAAATAATAATTCATAGATGGATTTATACTATGTACTACTGTAAATGGACGTAATCATACTTTGCAACGGTACACAAGTAATGTACTAATAAAATATTAGAAAGCATGTGTTCAACTGGACATTTAAACTCTGTGTGATGGAATAATACAGCGATGGTGACAAAATACTCTAGGGTTGAAATGGGACAGTGCTAATGGAAGAAGTTCACATACAATGGATGAAGTAATTGTAGATGAGAGTAACACTGCATGGATGATAACATAATACTATTTGGGTCATTGTTGATGTACCATTCTGGGCAAGCGCCACTGACCTGCTTGGCAAGAGCCATGGGCACCGTCTTCCCAAGTTCACTGAGGCAGCGATTTATCCTGTCTCTCCTCCTTTTTTCTATCACCTTGTGGGAGACGGGGATTCTCTGAAAATAAACACATGACACATACAGACACTGGTGAATCAACATGGTTAAACATCGGACAGAGATGTCAATCCCAACCGGCCATGAGTCTGGTACAGAGCAAGAGAGTGCTTCCACTCTGCTCTGAAACAACACTCACTTTTCTCTCCTTGATTTTAGCTGAGCCCCTGAGGGAGATCATACAGGCTGGTCTCATCACACCGATGTCCATAGTCCTACTGTGCAAGCTGCTCTTGGTGCAAACAGGTAGACTGCAGTGCAGCTCTTCTCCCACCCGGGCTGGGCTTATAAAGCGATCACTTATCAGCACTGTGCATTCAGGGCCTGTGTGGGGATTAGGAGCCAAGAGAATAGGGAGGGAGGGGTGGTCATCCAGGCGAGACAGCCCTAAAACAACACAAATCCCTATGTGTGACTGGGGGCTGGCAGGGGGCACATCAAATTTGTTAATCCACGTGGCCCTTGAGGGACACGTGATTGTGAGCCTAGTAATCAGGGGTGGAAGTAGAGGAGGGGATCTGATGTGTGAATGGGCACCTTGCACTAAGTTTTCTGCTGAGAAATCATCCTGCATATCTAATGCATGGTCACTTCTACCAATGTCAAGTACTAGCAATGAGGGAACTCTTGTACACAGGGGGCTATTTAGTAAGGTATACCTGTATTAGTTACAAGCATACAGCCATGGACAGGATACATTTTTTTAAATAACCTATTATTACACTAAGCTGGAACTTCTGTGTGTGCCTCACTTCCCTTATGAACCACCTAAATGTCTGCAACCTATAATCTCAAACTACTTTTTTTTTGGAATAGAGAGCACAGGCTTTTGTTTCCAGAAATCAAGGATTTCACTACACAATACATATCAGTTATTATGATAATTAAATAATTTAAATGATAAAAGGTCTTTTTTGATAACAATGGAAGATGAGAAATCAGCTAGTTATATCTAGAATCACACCACACTTCGGATGTAAACACCATCTGAGTGATGTTATACCAATAGAGTAGCGTGTGTTCACTTAGCGATTGTTCTCTGAGAATTACAAAGAAAGTGGAGCTGTGCTCGCTTTAATCACCCAATCGTGTGCAAGGAAAAAGCCTGTTTTTTTTAAATTTCTCTACCATGGGTTTGAGTATTTAAAGTATTAACTACGCTCCGCAAACCTTTCCTTTGCAAAATGAACTCTCTACTCCTTGATTAGATCAACCCCATTGTGCACATAGTAAAATAGCTGTTCCTTTTACTCTAGGTCATTATCAATTGTGAAAGCATCCTACACTGCCTGGTTGTAGCAAGCACATTTTGAATTGGTTGCATCACTTGCAAAGATATAAGTATGTATTGGCACTTTAAGAAATGACCAGTATAAGAAAGAATCATAAAGAGTGTGAATAGAAATTTGGCAGCTTTTTAGAAATGCAGTAAATTGTATATATGTTCACAAAAATCATACGTAAGAAACACTAGCTAATTATAAATGAGTGTTCCTAAATTATAAAAATCTGATCATTTGCTTTAAACCATTTACCAAAGGTAATTTGCCTGAGCTGCACATACAGTCCTACAGGCTTTTAACAGCAATGTTGGCAAGAGGCAGATGTATGATCTAGGACTGGAGGTGATACATCTGCCATGTAGTTTACATCTTGGCTGACAAGTAGAAGCGGTGCACACAAAGATAAATGCTTCTATCTCTTTTCTCACTGAAAACCTGCAAACTGGACCATTGTATAGAGAATTTCTATCATGTTAAAAAACATGTATGTGTAAAAAGTCCTAAGGAGCCTAGATCAGTCCTATACTTGCCTTGTTATTTATTATTATTTGTTTATTGCAGGTATTTATATAGTGTTGACAGCTTATGCAGTGCTTTACATAGTTGCACATTCACATCAGTCCCTGCCCTAAGGGAGCTTACAATCTAAGGTCCCTATCTCACATGCATACATAGAGGGCCAACTTAGAGAGGAGCCAATTAACCTACCAGCATGTCTTTGGAGTGTGGGAGGAAACCAGAGTACCCGGAGGGAACCCATGCAAGCACAGGGAGAACATGCATACTCCTTGCAGATAGTGTCCTGGCTGGGATATGAACCAGGGACCCCCAGTGCTGCAAGGCAGAAGCACTAACCACTATGCCACTGTGCTGCTCATGTTATGGTTATGTTTTTGACCTATCACAAGTTAGGTTGCTTATCAGTGGCGTAACAATCGCCATAGCAACCCAGGCAGCCGATATGGGGCACGGTCAGATGCCGAGCGGACCGCCTAGGTCGCTATGGCATCCTCTGCTGGTGGCTCTGAAGAAGAATGCACTGCTGTTCAGATCACTGACCGTAATCTGTGCAGCAACGCGTTCTTCTTCAGAGCCGCTGCTTTGTCAATGAGAGCCAGCAGTGGAGGTGGAGGAGGACGGACCCGGCAGTGGAGGAGGAGGCGGGCCCGTGGTCGACAGCAGGGGAGGAGGCGGGGCCCATTGACGAGAAGGAGGCGGGCCGGCGATGGAGGAGGAGGCGGGGTCCATCAGCGAGCGTGGAGGAAGAGGAGGTGGACAGGGAGGAAGAGGAGGCGGGGCCCATTGACGAGAAGGAGGCGGGCCGGCGATGGAGGAGGAGGCGGGGTCCATCAGCGAGCATGGAGGAAGAGGAGGTGGACAGGTAAGGAGTGCGACCAGCCCACCTGAGGGTGACCCTGCAGAGCCCACCATAGAGACTCTATGGTGGGCTTTGCAGGGTCACCCTCAGGTGGGCTGTGTGGGATCTCAAGTGGGCTCTGCAAGTGGTATAACTAGAAATCACAGGGCCCCATACAAAATGTTGCTATGGGGCCCTGTGATTTCTAGTTACGCCCCTGCTGCTTATTATCACCAGATAACCTTTAAATTACATGACGTGAGATAGCAACTTTCATTTAAAGGACTCCACTTTCTAAACTAATTTTCTACTTTGGACATGGTCATTTTTGACTTGCAAATCATATTTTTGGCATGCAACGCTTATTAAATGCACCAAATGCAGTAAATGGGTGTTTAATACAGCTAAAGATTTTTGAATGCAGAAAGTTGGTCCTCTGTGTATATACTTTTTAAAATTAATTTATTTAAGTTTTATTAATTTTCAAGTAATAACAGATAAACATAACATAAATCACATAAACATATTCAAAGATTATTGAACAATTATTGAAAAAGGCATGTATGACTTAAGAACACTCATGTCCAATAATATAAGAAAAAAATTCAATATGGGAACAAAAGGGAAGGAAGACAATTAGACAGGGGAATGACAAAGACAAATGACAAAAGTATATGGAACAATGTCTGGGTTGTGATTTCTGGTAAAACGCTTCATGTTTTTGATACCTCAAATGATGTCATAAGTTTTGTAACTCATATATGCCATTTTCAAAATAAAAATTGTCAATTTTAAAAAAAAAAAAAAGACAAATGACAAAGACAAATTCTGGTTATGGTATTCAAACCTATTCAAATTATCATAAAGTATATGGATGGTACCCATTAAAAAAGTGAGAACTATAAGATGCATCACATATTATGATACAATTTAAAAGTAAATGAAAATTCATTGGCTCGATAAGTTAGCACAGTATGAATTTGAGGCCAGATTTCAACCAGCTTGCCCAGATTTTATAGAAAGGGGCATAATCATCCCAATTAGAATACAATAATTCTTCTAGAAGTCTAGTAGAGTCAAATTTTATAAACCAGCCTCCTATTGAGGGCGATTGAGTTGTCCTCCAATATCTGGGTATCAGTGACTTAGCAGTGTTAAGCATAAAGGAAACCAAAGATTTTCTATATTTACTAGGCGAGTCAGAGGCAAGATGAAATAAGCAGATCGAAGGCTCTAAGGGTAGTCGCATGGCACATACTTTGTGAATAATAGAAGTAACCGAAGTCCAAAAGGGTTTAATTAAAGGACAATCCCACCATATGTGGTTGAAAGTACCTGCAGATCCACATAATCACCAGCAGTTAGGATGATAATGAGTATTGAATTTGTGTAATTTAGTAGGGACATTATACCATCTGGATATTAATTTATAATTGGTCTCCAAAATGTGGACATCAATAGAGGAAGAGGTCACTAAGGATTATATTATCTGTGTATAACTTCCATGCAGAAGTCCTTTTGGAAAGGAATATGCTTCCTGAGCTGAAAATGATTTAGTGTAAAGTATTATTTTCTTTGGCTTAAAGTAGTACTAATGGCTGGGTGTTTTTTACCTTAAAGTGGACCTTTACACTCAAAAATCATATCATATCAAATTCTTCCAATGCATCCTGCTATGTATGATGATTAATAATAACATAAACATGTCAGGTGTGAAATGCTGTGATTATAACATACTTACACTTGCAGAGCATTCACTTCCTACTTTGAAAGGACAAAATGACTTCAGTGTGGCAAAGCCATGCACACCTGGATTGCCTTGTCATCAGCAGAGCATTGCTGGGAAATCTCATCTGTAATATCATGGGATCTCAGGGAAAGGCATTTTCCTCCCCTGAGATGATGTGCATGGTCACATGCCCTAGTCACATGTCCAGTCACATGTGCCAGAAATCCAAGAAGTAAAGGGAGGTCTAGTAATCATCCCTTAGTAAAAATGGCCACTGTCAGAAGACTGTCAGAAGACTGGGGAAGGAAAGAGAAATAAGGGATGCAAAGAATACAAAGCCGGCAATTATCTAGAAGTATGTGTTTGTAGATTGTCATTACTAAACATTTCTAAAGGTGCCTTTGTTGTTATTTAAAAAATATGGGTAAAGTTCCTCTTTAATGCATTCTGTGCATTAAGGCAAAAAACACCCAGTACTTTTACAAAACCCACGTCCCACACAAACACTTACCTGTAGCTGCTTGTAGCCTCCCCGCAAAGTGTCTATACACACACAGCTATGTGCGGGCACGGCGCTGAGCGTACAAGCACTGGTGCCTCCACAGCAGCCGGCTAGCTGATGGAGACATCCGTATGGGGGTGAGGGGCTAGCGGTTTGGATACCACTAGAGAACAAGGAAATAACAAAATGTAAAGAATAAAAAAAAGTTGTTTTTTTCAAGTAAGTCTGGCCCCCATGAACAAAATTAAGTTAAAATAAAAACGAAGGTATAATGTCACTTTAACTTATTAATTATTATTCAGATGTAAGCTAAACGTCACATTATGTTGAGATTCAGCCATGCATGCCCATGTTCACTCAAGTGGACATGATTTTACCAGAGAGAGGGATTGAATACTGCTTGCCCACATTAATGGTGTGAGATCATTTGTAGTATACCAGTACCATTGAAAT